ATACGTAAGTGTACTTGAATCAGGTTAGATTAGTCTATGGTTTGCATTTTCATGTTTGTGGCAATGAAATAATTTGGGCATGGCTAACTAGTTAACAGTTATACAATAAAACATTTTTCACTTATTGTATTTCATTTGCTTGTACATACATAGGTATCTTTGGGAAACTAATAAAACTGGGAAGTGACTGCTTTTAAGGAGAATGGGACAACAGCAGAAAGAGAGGGAGATTTTAAACTATTCCTTTTCATATTTTTGGAATATTAAACCGCGTAAAAAGTTTTGCAGACCTGTTAACCTAATGTATAAATATACATATACAAGCTGGGCATGGTGGCACACACCTGTGATCCCAGCACTCGGGAGGCTGAGGCAGTATTGTAGAGAGTTCAAGGCCAGCATAGGCTAAACAGTTCAAAGACAGCCTGAACTACATAGCGAGACCTTGTCTCAAAAAAAAAAGTGTGTGTGTGTGTGTGTGTGTGTGTGTGTGTGTGTGTGTGTGTGTAGTTTTAGTATATTTGATCTGATGAGATCATATCCTTAGGATATATGCTAAACTATAGTATTTAAGAATTTCACGGCAGGGGATTTAGCTCAGTGGTTCCGCCGCCTGCCTTGCAAGCGCAAGGATCCTAGTCCAATCCCCAGTACCAAAAATACAAAAAACAAAACAAGAATTTCAAATAATAAAACAGCCTATATTCTGGGATTCTATAGTCACCTCAACTAATTTTCCAAAGATATGCATTCTTAAATTTTCACAGGGATGATCCCCAAAATATGTTAACATCTAACCTATTAAATTAGATAACCAAGCAGAAACATGTTTTACATTTTGAAATCCTATTAATATCCATTCCAGATTTTTAAAAAACCATTTTAATCTTCCCATCTTTCCCATGTAATGACAGATCAAATTTTGGATATATAAAAAAATGCTCCAATTTATTTTTAAATGACAATAACTATCAAAGTGAGACTTGTGTACAGGTTAAAACAGTAAGAAATAAGGAAAAACTTCAGGATAAAAAATTAATTAATTTGTTGTGTGTTACTTTTTGATGTGCTGACTGGAGATAACCTCTGGGAAAAGTAACTTTAACTAAAACATCAGTTCATTACAATGTGGCCTATACTAAAGAATTCTTGGTGTCTGGGTAATTATTTCACATTTTACCTAGATTGGGCTTACTATGTAAAAAGAGGCTTACAAAGTATTCAACTCAGGCATGCTGTGCTTACTTTTTTTCTCTTAATTACTACCTATGAAATTCATTCCTTTAATGACTTTACTGCTGAATAACCGAGGTTTATATTTAAAAAGCCATCTCAGTTACTATAGTATGTCAGTACAGATAACTTAAGAATACTGTAAACTAGTATTCACAACTCTTCCTTCAAAAAAAGCAAAGCTTATACAGATGCTTCCTCCTTTTAATATTGCTTAATACCCATTAGTTACATAATCTTTTGAAGAGCTAACAATTATTTTTACATACTAAAAGGCAATGGTATAAATTTCTGCTATCAAAATTATTTTTGCTATTCCATTTTAATAGAAAAGAAAGGCATTTACAGCTTGATTATCAATGGCACTATACTTTATGGCAACTGCCTTATCAGCAACAGAACACCTGCTGTATAGGAAATTTTGAACACATTTTTTTCTTCAAAGCATAATATTATGAAGAGCAGTTTTCAATTGAGTATACAGTTTCAATGAAGAAACCCTAAGAAGAAAAAGGATGTGCTGCTTTCAAAATAACTTGAAGATAGTTTCAATGATTCAAATTTTCCTCTAACAAAAAGACACAATACAGAGGTTTGTCTTTCTATACATGAAGGGAAGACAATTAATATAGGCTGTTTGGTCAGAAACCTAAAACTGTAAATGTTGCCAATACCTCACTTCAAAGAGTTTAACTGACAAAAATTATATATATTTTTCATGGACATGTTTTGGACTGTGACAAGTTTTATTTCCTTTTGACGATGCCACTTTAAACATTAAGGAAAAGGAAGAAAAATTAATATTGTAAATGCTCTTTTAAAAGAATTATTTCATAGAAGAAATAACAGATTTCATAAACTATATAAATGTCCAAGTTGTTTTATTTTATTTATTTATTTTTTATTTTTTTGGTACTGGGGATCGAACTCAGGTCCTTGCACTTGCGAGGCAGGCGGCGAAACCACTGAGCTAAATCCCCAGCCCCTCCAAGTTGTTTTAAACAGACAATTATTATATTCTGAGCAGCTAGTTAGTTCTTACACTTTCCCAACTTGTTTAGCTTCTTCTAAAAGGAGGAGGGTTAGAGAGGTGCTGGAGATTAAATCTAGCCTAGGCCTTCACAGTGAACTACATCTCCAGAACTGTTTTGCTGTGGTGATTGCTCTGTTTTCTTTTTCAACAAAAGGTCTCACTAAAGTGCTAAACTGCTCAGCCAAAGCTAGAACTCATGATCCTCCCACCTCAGCCTTCTCAGACTGCTGGGATTGCAGGTGTGCACCTCTGCACCCATCTCCTTGGAAGCTTCTCATACTCCAATTTAGAACTTTCAGCTCTAATTTGAAGTGGAATGATCTTTACTATTTGTTCACTAGTAGAAATGAAGGCAAAGACTGAAACATTAATTAGATTTGGGGTTCTCTCTAGATTTCAGACATTCAAGTTTAGTCCCTTTTCTCCATTAACAAGACCAAGCAAAGGGCACCAAAAATACATACAAAATATTCAGAAAAGCATTATTCAAAACAGCCAAAAACAACAAAGCAATGTCCAAAGCTCAACTTTAAACAACAAAGCTATGTCCAAAGCTCAACTTTAAAAATAAAACATAAGGGGGCTGGGGCACTCAGTGGCACTGTGCCTGCTTTGCAAGTACAAGGTCCTGAGTTCGATCGTTGCTACTGCAAAGAATAATAATAATAATAGTAATAAACAAAACTTTTAAATGTTAAGACACAAGCCGGGCATGGTGGCACTCGCCTTATGTAATCCCAGCACTCAGGAGGCTGAGGCAGGAGGATCACTGTGAGTTTGAGACCAGCCTGGGCTATAAAGTGAGTTCCAGATCAGTCTCAACTACATAGTGAGACCCTGTCTCAAAAAAACCAAAAAAAATAAAAAATTTTTAAAAATTTAAAAATAAATGTCAAGACACAAATGGGAATTAAGTTAACAAACTTAAAAACATTTATGTAATCAAAAATATGCAAAACAGGGGTGGGGATTTGGCTCAGTGTTTCCACCAACTGCCTTGCAAGTACAAGGGCCCAAGTTCAATTCCCCAGTAGTACATTAAAAAAAAAAAAAAAAAGAAAGAAAGAAAAGAAAAGCAAAACAGCCAGGCATGACAGTGTATCCCAGCACTTAGGAGGCTAAGCCAAAGGGATCCCCTTTGAGTTTGAGTTAGAGGTCAGCCTGGGCTACACAGTGAGTTCAAGGCCAGCCTGAATTACCCAGCAAGACACTGTCTCAAAAAAATGAAAACAAAAGGGACAGATTTAGCTCAGTGGTTCCACCGCCTGCCTCACAAGCACCCAAATTCAATCACCGGTATCAAAAAACAAAAACAAAAACTTAATAACAACAATAACATTCAAAAGACATATCAATTTTTTAAATAATCTTCATGAAAGTGTTTCTAAATTGCAATTGTAAAACCTAATGTCTAAAACTGATAGGCTAATCCTAAAATTGAAATAGAAAGACAAGAGACCTAGGACAATCAAAATAATCTTGAAAAAGAAAAATCTGAAGGACTCACTTTCCAATTCCAAACTCTCTACAGAAAGTTACGGTAATCAAAACAGTGCAATAGTGTGACATAAGAACAGCCAAAGTAATAAGATTGAAAATTCAAAAACACACTCATACATCTATGGTCAATTTACACTTGATAAAGTATCAAAACAATTCAATTGGGAAAGAAGAGCTTTTTCAACCATTGGTGTTAGTACAACTGTATACCTGCATGCAAACAAATGAAATTGTACCCCTTTCTGCACCACACACAAAAATTAACCTCAAATGGATCACAAATCTAGAGATAAGCAAAAAACATAAAACCCTTATAAGAATACATAGGAGTAAATCTGTTAAATATGACAATACACAAGTGATTAAAAAAAAAAGTAGGAAAGATGAGCTTCACCAAGATGTCACTGAAATTAAAACAATACACTTCAAAGGATATTATCAAGAAAATAAGACAGCCTACAGAATATTTCCTAATCGTTTATCTGATAAGTAACTACATGCAGAACACATTTTTAAAACTTCATACAGGGGCTGGCGATTTAGTTCAGTGGTTCCACCACCTATTTCACAAGTGCAAGGTCCTGAGTTTGATACCCCGTACCAAAAAAAAAAAAAAAAAACAAAAAAAACAAAAAAAAACACCTCATACAAGCCTAAAAAGACAATTTAAAAATGGGCAATGGATCCAAACAGCTCTCCAAACAAAATATAAAAATGAACAATAAATGTGTGAAAATATGTTCAACATTGGCCTTAAGGAAACGACAATCAAAATCACAATGAGACGCTACATCACATCCACCCATTATAATGCCACATTATAATAAAAAGCATTACAGCCAGGTATGGTGGCATATACCTATAATCCCAGCACTCAGGAGGCTGAGGCAGGAAGATTTCAGGGAGTTCAAGGCCAACCTAGGCTACACAATCAAAGGCCAGCTTTAACTACACAGAATGACTCTTTTCAAAAACAAGGGCATATTACAAGTTGTCTTAGTTATTTTTCTAGTTGCTGGAACAAAATACCCAACACCCACAGGATAGAGGAGGAGAGATTTATTTCGGCTCACAGTTTGCAGATGTTCAGAGTTGGATAGTTCTAAGGCAGGACAGCATGGCAGAGGGGCATGGCAGGCAGGTAGCAGAGGAAGGGATCAAGGGAGCAGAGGAATATACTGCACAGTATATATACCCTTCCAGGCCACACCCACAGTGACCCACCACTTCTTACCAGGCTTCACCTCTCAACATGGCACCCGGCTATAAACCCATCAGTGGAAATCCAGTATCACACACCCATGATCCAGTCACCTCTCAAAAGCCGCATCTCTGAGCCCATGAGGCTTTGGAGGGTAATCTACACATAAGCCATAATACAAATGTTGGTAAGCTTGTAAAAAAAAACTGCAGCATGAAAACACTGCTAGGATTGCAAAACACTGCAGCCACTTTGGAAAAGTCTGGCAGTCCCCTCAGATGTGAAACAGAGTTTTAGGGCAATTCCATATGCAAACATGAAAACATGTTCACACAAAAACTTGTACAGAAATGTTCATGGCAACATTATTATAATAATGAAAAGGGAAGCCACATAAATGTCCATTACTAATAAATAAGTAACATACAAAGTGGAATATTATTTGACTATGAAAAGAAACTAAGTACTAATGTACACTATTTTAGTTCAACCTAAAACGGTGAAAGAAGCCAGACATGATGGTCCCATTTACACGGTAAAAACAGGATAAATCTACAGAGACAGAGCAGATTAGTTGCTTAGGGCTGGGGCAAAGGGAAAAGAGGGAGTGACTCCTGATGGGTATAGGGTTCTTTCTGGGACAATGAAATTGTCCTAAAATTGATTATGGTGATGTTTGCACAACTCTTTGAACATAAACTTTAAAATGTATTCTTTAATAATGGTTACACTGTATAGAAAGTGAATTATATCTCAATAAAATGTTTTTAAAAATGAATGCCGAGTATACATGTCGTTTGCAGAAAATATGGACTATTCACGACAAATTACTATGGATTGATTTCATTACTAAGCAAGTCCAGGCTTGAGGTGCTTACAATCACGAATTTATGATACGCTCCTGACTAACTGAAAGATCATTCCTTTAACAACATTTCTAGGTTCTAAAACGGAACTGCAGTACTTGCAACTGTCAGAACATTAAAGTGAGATCTGCCCAACATACCTTAGTAAACATGTTATTTTCCTGTACGTGCTTAACTGTACTTCCCATTAAAACAAACAATAACAGCAGAAAAACATTCCACAGGGAGCCTGCGAAGTCATTCTCAAAGAAGAAAATAATACCAAAAGGAGGGGTGTGGGAAGAATGAGGAAGGGGGTAGAGGACTCAGGGAATTCGCCCTGTATTTTTAAACCCAGAGCTCAGTTACATGAAATCCAACTTTCATGCTTTGTGAGCAGGCCTAGAGGCAAAGTCCTGGGCGCGGACCCACGAGCCGAGGGCCAGGCCGGCCGGTAGGAAGCGCGGTGGCTGCAGTCC